GATAGGATAGACTTCCTTTCTAACAATATCAATACTTATAGCAAGTCTAACTTGTGATTATTTAAAACGCACTTTTTCTGTACTCTATTAGAGTTATAAATACTATCCCATGCAAAATAAAATAATGTAGGAGCATTCATGAAAAAAAAAAAAACCTACATTTGATCTGAATGTAAGACTGAAAAGTACTTCAAAACATGAACTTCCTGTAAAATATCCAGTTTAAATATAGAGCTGTTCTAGTTTCATTTCTGTTCCTGTGATGAAAACAAAAAGCAATTTTAAGGGACAGTGAGCTTATTTGGCTTAGTTAGTTCCAGGTTAAAGGCCATTACTGCAGGGAAGTCAAGCCACCAGAGTCTGAGCAGCCAATCACATCACATCCACAGTCAGGGGAGGAGAGAAATGGATGTTTGCATGCTGCTTATTTGCTTGCTTGTGATCAGCTCAATTTCTTCACTCTTACAGAGTTCAGGACATCCTGCCTAGGGAATGGTGCCAGCCACAGTGGACTGAGTCCTCCCACATCAATTAAGACAATCCCCTGCAGACATTCCCAGAGGCCTGTCCAATGTAGACAAGCTCTTGTTGAGACTCTCTTCCCAGGTAATTGTCAAATTGACAAAGCTAACCATAGCAAGAGCCATTGGTGTTAAAGTAGTAAAATAATGAAAAATAAAAGCAAATTATTTGCAGAATGCACTAGTTGTGCTGAATCAAGAACTAATTTCTACTCACAGGGTTTTTGTAAAGCTAACAAGGGGGCATTTCAGATGTAGGCATCTTCCTTGGCTTGCAGAACAGTGATAACTTCTCCCATCATAAAGAGCAATTTACCTTCTGACTATTTCACCTATGCCCACTTATTTAATTTTTAACTGTGTGAAAAATCTCCATTTATTGTTATTAGTACACACACAGCATCATCAGCTCTAATTGGAGGGCTTTTCATAGCAGAACTTAAGAATTGAAAATGCAACAGTGTCTTTTGCAATTAAATGTCATGCTAGGATCAAGATCTGATATCCTAAGTAATCACAAATGCTTATAAGTCAACAAGAAAATAATAAATCCAACACTTTATTTTCAAGATGGGCACAAGGTATGAAAAACCATGGGACAGAATATAATAACCAATGAAAGTTTGAAAAGATACTCAACCTTACTGTTAAAGAAATAAAAGTAATCAAGGGTGGAGAGATGGTTCAGCAGTTAAGAGCACTGACTGCTCTTGCAGAGGATCCGGGTTCAATTCCCAGCACCTACATTGCAGCTAACAACCATCCAAAACTCCAGTTCCAGGGGATCTGATGCCTTCTTCTGACCTCTGCGGACATTGCACAACATGGGTTCACTTATACACATGCTGGCTATACATTCATACACATAAAATAAATTAATAAAATATTTTAAAAAAATCAAACGAACTCAGAATTCATTTTCAGACTGGCAGAGATTGAGGAGATTGACAATACTGCATGGACAAGTATGAAAAAGAATGAGCATTCTTATAAGTATTAGTTAGTCTATGAATTAGTATAATGATTAAGAAGGCAGTTTGAAAGCATCTATTAAATACATTCTTGAGCATGCATGCATACCCTCTCCCCAACACACATCCTCCAATTATGCAATCCCATAGCTATAAATCCATACTACAGGGGGAAAACAGACTTCCAAAGATAAATGAACAAGGAAGCTCATCATAAGTTACAATAAAAAGTAAAACCAAAAACCTGATAGGACTGAGGTTGCAGCTCATTGACAGTGTTTGCCTAGCAGGCACAATGCTCTGGATTTGGTCCCCAGCTCCACAAAACAGTAACAACAAAACAAAAACTTTTTTTTTTTTTCGGTCTTTTTGAGACAGGGTCTCCCTGTAGGCCCAGCTGTCCTGGAACTCACTATATAGACCAGGCTGGCCTTGAACTCACAGAGATCTGCCTGCCTCTGCCTCCCAAGTGCTGAGATTAAAGGTGTGTGCCACCATGCCCGGCCCAAAACAAAAACTTTAAAAAAAACTGATCAAAACCAAAATAGAAGGAATGTACTGACTTTTATCAGACCAAAAGTGCTATACATAAAGATATCCAAGATACACTGTTAGGTGAAGAATGAAAATTTCAAAACAATATATGACTCCATCTTTTTTAAAAAATGTAATTTTTAACATAATATACCTAATATTCTATCCAAAAAAATGTATACAACAAACTTGGGAGTGATTGAGTAATATAGAACTTCTATATTTATGAAAGATTTTACATTCTTACAATATATTACTTTTGTTTTTGATAAAAATATATTTTTAAAAGTCAACAAAAAATACACTAAACTGAGAGTAACCACACGGGGATGGTTAAGCAAGGAAGTCAGACAGAATAAGAGCTAACTTATTCCACTCATATCACACACTATTCCAGACATGATAAAACAAGAGGAGAAGGAATTAAGGGATGTGTTCTTTTAGGTAAAAATGGTTTACCAGGTATGTCCAACATTTTGACATGTGACTTCAACACTGCCATCTTCAAAGTGAATGTTAGAGAAACGTGCAATCAAGTTGCCAAAAAAAATTACAAAGTTTCATAATCTTAAGGAAAATTCATGCTTTTGTATCTAGCCACATTTATAGCTACCCTTAGTCACCTGCAGCCCATGGGCCACAAGTTGAGCACACCTGTGTAAGTCTAACCATGTTGTAATTCTAAGAAAAGTGTAAGATCAGGCCAGTCGTTTTCTCAGATTGATCACTTTCCTTGCTGCTGACCAAGAAAGTATTGTGTAGGGCAAAGTATCAAGGGATCCTCTAGTACCATTCTCTTACTTTAAATGGTGGTCATAGGTTTGCACAGCCTCTAGATGTCCTCTTCAGGAGACGAGGACAGATGCACATTTTACAGGGTCTAAAATGTATTCAGTTTGGTTTGCTGTTGATGCCCTGTCATAATAATAGTGAGCTGGCAAGGTAAAGTACAAGAATATTCTAGGAAGCTATTGCCACACAAAACTGACTGAACAACACAAATATGTTCCCAATTCATATTCTTAGTGGCAACTAAAGATGCCTACGGTTGCTCCAGCACTTTATATCACAGCTCTTGGTCAATTATGATAAAATGTCTTACTTGTGTGAATTTTACAATGACCTTATAAATACACAATGCATATAAATGAGAGGCTCTAAAGCTCAAGAGCCTTTGATAGTTACAGTCAATTCATCTTTGCATGGGGGACAGTGGAGCACTGGGTCTCTATTCCCTTGCATTATTTCACCATGGATGCAAAGAGATCCCTAAGCATGACCAAGCTCTTTTCTGAAGGAGGCTCCAGAAGACACATGACACTACTCCACCTCAAACAATTAATCATTTAGGAAATGTCTCCCCACAAGAACAGGATAATTTCTGAGTACTATAGAATCACCACACCCACCTGTGGAATGTATACTAAAAGAAGCTCATATATATCTCACTTTGTGCACAAATACCGTATAGGCAATCTTGGATAGTGTAAGAGTCCTGCTGTCACCAGCATTTCCTGTCACTACCTTCCTTTTATCAAACCTTGCTAAGGTTTCCACATAGCAAAACAACAACAACAAAAAAAGACGTAAAAGTACTTTTGATCAATCAATAGTTGGTTGAGTCCATAGATAAAAAGCCTGAAGATATGAAAGGCAGACTACATGTATAAACCATGAATTTAATAATGGGCTAATATCCTAACCTTATGGACATTATAGCCTAGTGGGAAAAAAAGGCCACTGATTACATGTCAATGGTATGATGAGGTAAGGCAAATGAAGTAGATTAAGCACAGGCCTAGAGGACAAGAGAATGGGACACATTCCATGAACTGCAAGAAGTTTAGTATAGTCAGAGGAGAAATGAGTCAAGGGAGGTAGGATTAGAACAGCAAAGAAAAAGATAGCTGGAGAAGGTAGGGATATGGGGTGTTAAGCACAGTCTTGTAATTCATGTTGAGAATCAGGTTTTACCTCAAAGACCCAGGGTATTTTAAATAGGAGAGTAACATTACCAGA